GGGGGGGGTGTTTTTTTGTTGTTTTTGTTGTTTTGTTTTTAATATATTTTTGTTATACAAATACTGTACAGAGTGATAATAGTTACATCAGTAAGGTAATGAGTACATTTCCTATTGAGCATTGTTACCCCCTCCTTTGTTTTTCCCCTACCATCCCTTCCTTTCCCACCACCCTAACTCCTCCCTTCCCCCCCAAAGTTGTAAAGTTCGTTTTCAACATAGTGTCTTGGACATCTCATTGTTACAATGGGTCGTCCTGTATCCTTATTTCAGCATTTTGTTGTTTCCCTTCCCCTCCCCAAATTAGAAAGATGTATATGCAAAATGCAAGGCTCCAGAATCAAATACAGTGACAACAGGGGTTATACCATGGGGGAAGAACATACAAAAGAAACAAAAACATCACATAGTGCATTATAAGCACATTGAAAACAACAGCAACACGCACTGCGAGCGGCGCCCGGTGGTCCGGCCTGTCCCTCCCGGGTGCCACGTGCTGTCTGGCGGCTTCCCGGGTTAAGCCAGGTGAGATGCAGCCGCTGCGGTCCTGAATTCAGGGATCCCCTCACTGACAAAGAACATTACCGCAAACCTGAGGCCAAACTCACCGAGGAGGAGAAACATGAGCAGAAGCTCAAGAAAACTCAGCCCCATCAACGAAAACAAGCTCTGTGTTTGCAGACTGGGTGATCAGTAAGTTCCCCAACATGATGAGGAGAGGAGGAAACACGGAACTGGCCAGATCCCTCATGAACCAGCCTCTGGCAGCAGTGATATATTGAACACAACCCCTATGTCATCTTCCACCAGGCGCTGAAAACCGGTGAGCCAGAGAGTGGGCTAGTACCCATCCTCAGAGGTGGCCATGTCTACCAGGTCCCTGCACCCACAGCCGACCGACGTCGACGCTTCCTGGCTATGAAGGGGATGGTCACTGAGCACCGGCGGACACTGATGCCAGAGAAACTGTCACACGAGCTGCTGGAGGCTTTTAACCATCAAGGCCCGGTGATCAACAGGAAGCACGACATGAACAAGATGGCCCAGGGCAACCCGGCCCTGGCCCACTACCGCTGGTGGTAGAGGAGGGGCCAGGGCCAGGGAGGAGCCGGCTCTCCACGCAGGAATCCACTGCCCCACCGGAGAGGACCTGGGACAGCTGTGCGTTAAGAACATCGTCCTTTCGGGAAAGGATGGAGCAGTGTGCTCGTTGCCCATTTTTCCTTCAGGACTACAACTGGTATCCCTCTCCAGCCCCTGCTAAAGAACATAGCCCCGCGGGGATTCCCTCCGAGAAACTCAGGCCAATCTCCTCTTCCCAGCTGGGGCTAGCCATGTAGACACTGTAAGAAGGCAGTGTTCGTATGAGAAAAGAGTTATTAGAAAATGCTCGGCCTGACCTGATGAGTGGCCATTTCATTACAGCTGGCTGACTGGAGCGTGTCTCCACCGCAGTCATTGTACAAAAGTGAAAAGAAAAAAAAAAACCCAGCAACAAAGATAAAACCTCTTGTGTCCCTAACTTGGGGTTCATTTCGTTTAACATCATCTTATATGATCCTATGTACTTAGCTTTTGATCTTTTCTGCTTGTCCTAGACATATACTAGTCATTTCAGTTAAGGGAAACTATAGGACCTATGTTTCTTTGGACCTGGCTTAGATCACTTAATATAATTTTTCCAAGTCTTTTCATTTCCTAACAAATGGAGTAGTATCATTCTTTCTGATGGAGGCATAGAATTCCATCATATATATATATATATATGTATATATATATATATATATACATATACATATATATCACATTTTCTTGATCCATTCATCTACTGAGGGGCATCTGGGTTGGCTCCATATCTTAGCTATGGTGAATAATGCTGTGATAAATATAGTTGTGCTGGTAGCTTTAGTATGGCCTTGTTTGTGATAGTTTGGATAAATCCCCAAAAGTGGGCTTTCTGGGTCATAGGAGAGCTCTATGTGTAGTTTTAAACATGTTTGAAAATATGTTGATGAAAGTCCTTACTATGCATAATTTAATATATGTGAACTTTAAAATCATCCAGTACATTAAAAATAAATGAGGAGGCCAGGAGCTGGTGGATCACACTATAATCCTCGCTACTCAGGAGGCTAAGATCTGAGGCTCATGGTTCAAAGCCAGTTCAGGCAGGAAAATTGTGAGACTCTTTTTTTTGCCAGTCCTGGGGCTTGAACTCAGAGCCTGGGCACTGTCTTTGAGCTGCTTTTGTTCAGGGCTAGCACTCTTACCACTTGAGCCACAGCGCCACTTCTGGGTTTTTCTGTTTATGTGATACTGAGGAATCAAACCCAGGCCTTTTCATGCATGCTAGGCAAGCACTCTACCACCAAGCCATATTCCCAGCCTGTGAGACTCTTATCACCAATAAACTGCTCCAAAAAGCCAGAAGTGGTGCTGTGGCTCAAGTGTTAGAATGTGTGCCTTACACACACAGAGGCGTAAGCATTGGAAAAGTATTTCCAGTATTGGGGGGGAATAAGGATAATAATAAAAACAATATTACCCTAACAATACAACCTTAACCTTACCTTATGGGAGCCTCCCTCTCCTTGCCCCTTCTATAGTCACCACATATTGCTCATGTAGCTCTAAGGTATTGAAGGTATGAAATAGGTCCCTTCTTGTTCTATACCATGACATTTCTTGACACAACACCTTATAAACTCTACTCCATCAATGAAATGTGAGTTCTTTGGCTAGTTTTCCATTCATATTTCTATGGAACCTCCTGACCCCAGCCATCTTTTGCAAAAACAATTATCTGATACTGCTTCAGTACCTTGGATAGCTCCCAGCTGCCTACAAAATGAAGCCTGTTCATCCTCCTTTGACAAATAATGATTCATAATGAAGATACATATGGTCTGGCCATATGTATCCTGGCCACTCTTGTCTAGCTATCCTTGCTCATTGTCCTCTTCTTCATACCTCCACAAATGTTGTGCTTTCTTTCCCTTCCCTTCCCGTAAGACTTTGTTGGAAAATGCAACTTCCATCCATCCTCCCAGACTTCCACTCAGACGATACCAACTCTGAATCTCTGAATAGCCCTTCAGGACTGCTGTCTCCTCTGTGTTCCTCTAACACTTTGTGCATACCTGAACAAGAGTCCCCTAACCACACTCTTCCCTAACTATTTATGTTTCTACCTCCCCTGCCAGAATGTGAGCTGCTTTAAAAGAAAGAGTGGGGGGGAGATTAAGCTACTATATCTTATTCATCTTTAAATCTCCTCTATCTCCCTGCTAACATCACACATAAATATTGTTGAATGAATTGGCTGAAAGTACTTTGGTAAAAATAAAACACATTATCCAAAATTTTTATAGACCTCTGTGGCTAAAACCTCATTTCTTTGCCCTCCCCCTCTCTCTCTGCATACCTTTTGGCACGCTATCACGGGTCTCAGGAGGGCCAGTTATTCAAAGGGAACTAACAAAGTGCCTGCTATTTGTAAACAGAGCCATTTGTAAACCCTTTGGGTGAGATTTAGAGATTGCCTTTCTAACTCTGACAAGGCTCCTTTGAGCACTCACTCCATTCTAAGAAGCATTTCTTTTCCAAATGTCTTGAGTCCTATAAGTAACCTTTTGTTTATCCTCCAACACTTTCAGGGAATTTGAACAGTCTGAAAAACAATGTAGTGACCCTGATGGGACCCACCCGGCCAGTGACTCATGTCAGCCTAAGAGGGAGAGGAAGCTTCAGGGACTTAGCTCTTATCCCTGCCTGCTTATACTATTATCAGCTCCTTAACTGTTTGAATCTTGAAGAGCTCTTTGCTCCCCAGTGAAGACAGTGGCAGCCCATTAATCACCAGCATATTCGAGTAAAGCAGCCTTACAAGAAAAATGATAATCTGAATGGCTTAAAGAACAGTAGGCAACAAATTAGAGTAAAATTAGGGTGAGGTACTCATTTGAATTGAGCCCAGGAAGGGGCAGAGAATAATAGCTGTGAGCCTCAGTGTCTTTGCTCTTGCTGCTCTTTTGGCTTAGGATTCTCTACCCTATAATACTCACATTCAGATCTCAGCTCAAAGGCCGCTTCAAGGGCTGGCCTGATGACTCAAGCCAATAAATAAATAAGCACCCACACACAGGAAGGGCAGGAACGTTGTCTATTGTCTCATTCCCAGACATTGCCAGCACATCATAATTTGCTACATTTTTAAAGGATAACCAAAACAATTATATGCAATGCCTTTCATACTTGGAGACCCCACAATCCCATTTTGCTGAGGGCAAATGATTAACCTACAGGGATTCACAATTTGCCCCCAGCTGCCAACCTATGGTAGACCAGGATGGTACCACCCTATATAGCTCTTCTGCCCACTCTTAGTCTATTTATCATCTAGGAGAGGACAGATATAAGCCCTAAAAGAGGATTCTCTCAAGAAAAGCTGTCAGGTAAAAAAAAATCACCAATCTCCTAGACATCTGGAAATGATGGGAAAATTTGAAAGAGTATTTAAGAAAATAAAGTACAAGGAGAGCACAATACAGATTCCTGCGTTTGAGGGGGTGAAGAAAAGATGAAAGGAATGGAATTAGCAATGACACATTATGGTATATGAGAGTACCTTCTGGAGACAAGATAGGCCTCCCACTGTGAGGCACATGTGTATGTCCTGCCTGTGTACAGATGTTTATCCCTTTGGGACATTATTTCTTCACTAGGAATGGAGATCAGGCCCAAGCTTCTGCTAGCTTCATATTGCTGTAAAGTTAGACAGAGGAGACTCAGCAAGAATATTAGAGGCCGCATGTGCCTGGATAGGGAGGCTGACCATTCCAAAGACCTTTCTTCTACAGGCCAGAGCTGTGATGCACTGGCTAGTCAGATGAAATTACTCCGAAGGTCAAAGAGGGCCTAACACACTTTCCAGTCAAGTGAGCATTGACTTGACAGTGCAATGGTCTCCATGCAGCTTGGAATTGAATGTGGATACTCACGGTTCTGGAGTGTACAGGGGGTCTGAGCCATGCCGGATATATTGAGTACAGTGGAACACTCTGTAGGCCAAGCCTGCCAGAAAGTCTCTCGGACTCAGGTATCCAGCCACCGGCCTCACCGTGAAGCCAGATCTTTCTGAAGAGACAACAGAAAGAAAAAGAAAAGGTCAACTAAATGGTAGCCTCAGAACCTGAGGGTCCGGAAGGGTTCCTATTATTTATAAGTATGTTTCAGAAACATGCAAGCAAGGTCCTCCTGATAACTGAATGACATGTTCTATTAATTAGCTACTACGGTTGGAGCTTGTAGTGACTAAAATACTGCCATGAATGATGGTTTCTGGGGGAACCATCAATTCATTAAAAGGGAAAGAAAAGTGAAAAATATGTTAAGGGGTTTAAATTCACAAATTAGGGTAAGAAATACCAAATGCCCAGGAGAAGATCACAATCTAAAATGATGATTACCACATATCACCTGGAATCTCTCTAAAAGCCATACCACATGCATGTGCTCAGAAGCACACAGCTACCTACCACCTCCACTCATGTCTTAGAATTGACCCCACTGCACCTTTCTATGTCAATACCTCCTAACTAAATCCTGTGCTGCTGGAGTTTGTGGTATGTGAATTACTCTAACTTGAAAATGAGGTATGCCTAAGGTTTTTCTGTGCCTTATTGGTTTGTGGTAGGAGAAAAGCCAATACAATACCAACTACAAATAAAATCTATGAAACTTGCCTACATTATTAAGTCAGTCAGGGTTCATTAATGTCCTAAGTTTAAATGACATCTAACGCTTCCTTACCAAAAAGTTCAGAGAAATTACAATGTTCTTTTTGTTTTAGCTGGGTACCAATGGTTCATGCCTGTAATCTTAACTATTCAGGTGATTGAATCTGAAAATCATGATTCAAAGCCAACCCAGGAAAGTTCCTGAGACTCTTATCTCCAATAAATTACCAAAAAGGAAAAAAAGCCAGAAGTGGAGCTATGATTCAAGTGTTAAAAGTGATAGCCTTGAGCAAAAAGCTCAGAGACTGTACCCAGGGCCTGAGTTCAAGTCCTAGGACCTACAAAAATGAAGAAGGACAAGGAGGAGGAGGGAGGAGGAGGAGGAGGCAGAAGAGGAGAAAAATACATATTTTATTTTTGCTATATTTTTATATTATCCTCTTCTTGCAAGAGTAGTTCTTTTTTTTTAATTGTGAGAATACCATACAGAGGAGTTACAATTACATGGGCAAGATAACGAGTACATTTCTCATCAAGCATTGTTGCCTCCTCTTTGTTTCCCCTTCCCATCCTTTCCCATATTCCCCCCACACCTAATCCTCCCCCCCCCACCAAAGTTGTAAAGTTCGTTTTCCACATAACGACTTGTACATCTCATTGTTGCAATGGGTCCACCTGTATCCCTAGTTAAATGATTTGCTTTTTCCATTCCCCTCCACAAATTATACCAACATCAAATACAGTGAAAGCAGGGTTATATCGTGGGGGAGGGACATACAAAGCAACATAGAAATCATCTTGTAAATATGTTAGAAACAATTGTATGAAAGGAAAAAACATTTGAATACTTATCTTGGGGTTCATTCCCCTAACATCAACTTATCTGACCTTTTCTGGTTGACTCAGACATATACTAGTTATTGCAAATAAGGGAAACCACGGGACCTATGTTTCTTTGGGCCTGGAAAATTATATTAAGAGTAGTTCTTTAAAAATGAAAATTGTGTATATTTAAAATGTAAGGTATATTTTGACAGACATGATGATCATTACAGTTGTGTGAATACTCATCTCTCATATAATCATATGTGTCAAGAGAATACATTATCTACTCTTTTAGAAAAGTTCCATTATAAAACAGCTTTACTAGCCATAATCATCGTGCTGTAAATTAATCTCTGAATGTATTCCTTTTGTATGACTTCACCTTTATACTTTTGGACCAACATCTGTCCATTTCCTCTACCCGCCTACTCCTGGTAACCACTTTTCTATTTCTGTTTCTATGTATTCAGTGTTAACAGATTCCACATAGAAGCAGGAGGAGGTCATATTTGTCTTTCTGGTTTTGAATTCTCTCATTTAGATAATGTCCAGGAGGGCTGTTTTTAACCCCTTGATGCTGGCTAGCATTATAGAGGCTCCCATCCCAAACACTTAAACTCATTAGGAGAGTACCTCAGAAACTAAGTGGAGAAATAAAAATAGTGAAGAAAAGGCAAGATCCAATTAAGTTTATAAAATGAGTCCATCCTGGGCTTTCTGGTAATCACACAGAACTCATACTTTCTCAAGCCTCCTCAGACCCATAATTCCAGCAGAAAAATGTTCATTCCAAATATTTTTATTTTGGATTTTGCCTCACTGAATATCAAAAAAGACAAGTGTATTTTCTCCTTTTTCTATATTAAATCAAATAAGCTAGTGTGCCCCACATATAAGACATGAGTGGTGATACACTAAGGAACATGGTTTTATTTTAAACAGATTTTTTTTTTTTTTTGTCGGTCGTGGGGCTTGAACTCTGGGCCTGGGCGCTGTCCCTCAGCTCTTCAGCTCAAGGCAAGTGCTCTACCATGGTTTTATTTTAATAGCTATGCATTTTATTTTTATGAGTTAGAAAAATGTGAAACCAGGACATCAAGAATTTTGAATTGTGGGGCTGGGAAGGTGGTTCAGTGGTAGAGCGCTTGCCTTGCATGCAAGAGGCCCTGGGTTCGATTCCCCAGCACCACGTAAGCAAAAAAAAAAAAAGAATTTTGAATTGTCATACATCATTGCTTTAAAAGTGCATTCTAAGTAAGTCAGGTGCTTTCAATTTTGGATGTTTATTAACTTTAAGTGGTTGTACAAAAGACGTGCCATTTAACAAAGCCATTTATGAATGCGTTGCATCTTGATCACTGTCACCCCTTTCAACAGTCTCACATGTTTTTAATGAGTGTTTTTAAATTAGGTGTTTTAAAATGAGTGGGAGAAAAATGCATGCGTTGCACTGTCTTTTTGCTATGTGCTAATCAGTAACGCAAACTCTGTACCACTTCTTATGAAGATATTAATACAAGAGACAGATATGAAAAATACTGTAAGATAATATTCTAATTCATGAGGTTTGAGAAACAATAGTAAAACATGAAACAACAATAAAAATTAAATCCCAGACATGGCAAATAGGTCCCATGGTAAATACATAGTGAGTATATAATTATGGGAAACAAGGAGGATGCATGGCCTGCAGGGCCATAAGAGGGAACACAGCCTACCTCAACAATAACAGAAGGCATCATGTAATTAGGTGTTAGTTAAGTGATACTGATCAGCAGTTCTCAGTGTACTAGCTGTAAGGCCATGCATATCTGTCTCCTGATACACACTAGTATAGATTGGAATTTCAGGAGGGGAGAGTCTGGTGGCTGTTATAATTAGGATTCATAGAGGAGACAAGACTTGTTCTGAGCTTAAAGAACAGGTAAATTTGACTAGTAAAGAAGAGATGGCTTTTCTGGTAAGAAACAGAACTTAAGAAAATTTATGGAGAGCCTACAAGAAGACCAGAGAACATGTCACAGCAGCGCGCAAACCAGGAACACTAGGATCAGGTCTCCGAATTGAGGCCAAGCAGTTCAGACTTGGCCAGCCGAAAGTTCTGTGGCCCACAGAAATTGCTGGCTCAGTTCTTCTTTTCAAATCAGTTCTTTTCCTGTTTGGAAAAGGGGCCACTGTACAACGTGTGTTCTTGGAAAGCAAATGGGGATGCTAGCTAGAGACTGTGTACAGTCTTACCTTTCAGAAACATGGAGACATCTTCAAGTTGAGGCACGTTGTCCTCTCTGTAGCCACAGTATTTAGTCAGCAGAGGGAAGTTTTTCAAATACTCTCGGCAAGCATGAGTGGGATAGAGCTTGGAGAGCTCCCGGAATACAACTCCCCAAGTTTTAGTTTCTTCTTCTGTATACTCCACCCTAGGGATGGGCTGCCCACTAGGAGAGAGACAGAAAAATAAATGAATCTAGTTTTAGACCACTAGGTTAAAGGTATTCCAACCTCAATGTCAGTTAGATTCTTTTTTGGTGGGGGGGGGGGGGGGGGGAGGGGTCCAGTCATGGGGCCTGAACTCTGGGCCTGGGCGCTGTCCCTCAGCTCTTCAGCTCAAGGCTAGCGCTCTACCACTTGAGCCACAGCACCACTTCTGGCTTTTTTCTTATATAGTAGAACCCCTTAGGACCCCAAAACATCCCACTAAGTATTGGTGTTTTGTTTTTAAGGAACTATCACGAGTCCAATTTTGTGTGCATGGTTGGAATTCTCATGTAGGCGTGAACTCAAGGCCTGGACACTGTCCCTGAGGTTTTTTGGTTTTGTTTTGTTTTGTTTTTGATGTTGGTTTGGGGTTTTTTGGGGGAGGGTGGTTCCGGTCTTGGGGTCTGAACTCTGGGCCTGGGCGCTGTCCCTCAGCTCTTCACCTCAAGGCTAGCACTCTAGCACTTGAGCTACAGTGCCACTTCCTGCTTTTTTTTCTGCTTATGTGGTGCTGAGGAATCGAACCCAGGACCTCGTGCAGGCAAGGCAAGCTCTGTACCACTGAGCCACCTTCCCAGCCCTCCCTGAGGTTTTTTTGTTTGTTTGTTTGGTCAAGGCTAATACTCTACCACTTTGCGCTACAACTCCACTTCCAGTTTTCTGGTGGTTAAAGTCCCACGGACTTTCCTGCCTGAGTCGGCTTTGGACCATGATCTCAGCCTCCTGGGTTGCTAGTATCAAAGGCCTGATTCCTTGGCACCCAGCTAGACTCTCGTAGAACTGTTAATTAAGTTACATCTTCACACAGCCTTGTAGAAGTTTCCTAAGACTCATGTTCCCAAACTGAGGTTGGTAACAAGAATCCTGGGCTGGTTCCATGCAGAGCCATTCTCTGAGAGAATGTTCCGCAATCACAAGACAAGAAGAATATATGGGATATTGTGTGTTGAAAATGAAATTGTTTTGTGGGTTCTTTTTGTCCCTTGCCTAGAATGACCCCACTTTCTAAGTATTATTTTGAGATTATTTAGTCAGTGTCCAAAATGTATGGCAATTACTAAAAATCTATGCTGAATTTAAAAGTGAGAGTCTGGCTAGAAGTCTGTCTGATGGAGTAGCAATAGTCCCTGAGCTCAATCCCCAGTGCCCACCAATACATTAATTAATTAATTAATGGATGACTAAGTAAATAAATGTGAGAGAATAGGAACATTTACTTTAGGTCATGCTACAGGGTATACACATTGAGCCCTCAATTCAGGAATGGTGACTACTGAGGGGAAAGGGAAAGGGGGGGGGGGGAAGTGCTCAAAAATTTTTCTGAAAAGGGCCAGAAAGTAAATATTATAGATGTCAGCTGCTCTCTGCTGCCATTCTGCCCACTGTATCTCAAAACCAGTCACAGATAAGACATAAACAAGTGGACATAGTTATATGCTAATAAACCCTACTTTGCTCACCCTGGAAGCAGTACTATGCTGAGGATGACTGGGTTTGGTCCCAGAAGTTATTCCGGACAAAAGTAGTCATGGAGAGCTTCCTGGGAGAAGCACAACTTGAGCTGAGATTTGTTAGCTAGGTATGACCTTTAGGTTCCCTAACAAAGAAGGCAGTGTTATCCTAAGAGCAGCTAGAAGCAAAGGACACAACTCCAATCAAGGAACATGGCTCCGAATGGTTAACTTGGGACCAGCAGGAGGAGCAGAACATGGTTATGCACTTTTGAAAACTGTTCATTGAGGGGTTCAAATCTGATAAAGACACTTTTTATGAATGTGAATTAGGATTTGAGTCACTTTCTCAGGACGTGATCAACAACCACCTATAGCACACTCCACTGTGTGTCTGGCCACTTATCAGAAACTCTGCTCCTGTTAGCAAATAGACCACATGGATGTTGGAGTACACATAAACAGAAAACTATGATTTTTTTGTCCCAATAATCTCCTGATCCTGCCTCTAACCACAAGTCCCCATTGAAGCCCATGCACAGGCAAAACAATTGCCACACCAGGGCACTGCAGCTGCAGGACACCTCCAAGCCACTGGGATCATTGAAGAGAGCCTTTGAGGGCATCAAAAAGAGACCAAGGACATTAAAAAGAGCAGGTGAGGAAACAGATCCCCTTGCTGCTCTTTTAACTCTCTGCATAGTTCAATGTTCTTGTCAAAGTGCTTACTTGTAACATGCAGGTGCAAATGTGGTACCCACTGACCCAAATGTTTTCTGGTTTTTGTTTTCTTCTTTTGTGTGTGTGCTCATATTAGCAGTTGAGCTCAGGGCCTCATGCTCTCACTTGGCTTTTTTTTTGTTCAAGATTGCTGCTCTACCCCTTGAGCCACAGCTTCACTTCTGGCTTTTTGTTAGTTAACTGGAGGTAAGAGTCTCCTGGACTTTCCTGCCCAGCTCAGTTTCTACCCTTGATCATCAGATCTCAACCTCCTGATCACTCAGGCCTAAGCCACTAGTTTCCAGCATCAAAATTGTTTTTAATTAGCTGGGCCCTGGTGCTGATGCCTATAATCCTAGCGATTCAGGAGGCTCAGATCTGATGATCCAGGTTCAAAGCCAGCCTGGGCAGGAAAGTCATGAGTCTCTACTCTCCAAAAAATTACTACTCAGAAAAAGCAGGAAATAGCGCTGTGGCTCAAGTGGTAGAGCATTAGCTTTGAGCACATACAGACTCAGGAACAGTGTCCCAGGACCAGCAAAAAATAACTTAATAATAATTTATAAAGAAAAAAACTTAACAGTAGTACATGAAGAATAACACATACTGAAAAAAAAACAAGAAATTAACATTCTCAAAGTATTTGGTTGGCCTAGAGCTTATACAAATTAAATTAAAACAAGATTGGCCTTGTTTAAATTTGGCTGTTGATAACCAACAAAAAATTACAAGCTGGCAAATATTTGCTGGGAAGATCAAGACTGCTAAATCCTTGCATCTGTGATGAATTTCAAGTAGAAGCCTGATATGGAAAGATAAAAATAGAAAGTATGCAAGGAAATATATAAATAAGTTACCTCTGGAACCTATTCAGCTAAATCAATTTCAGTCAGAAAGACCAATAAAGTGAATAAGAGCTGCATGCAATCTGAAGGCAGGAAAGCCATGAGGCTGGAACAATATATGAAATATTGAGAAGCCATTTGAAAGGAAGTGTTAGGTCAAACTTCTCCCTTCCCTATCTGTCTGCAAATGTGCAGCATTTCAAAGGGACTGAATATAGCCAACAGGGTGCGGAAGGAAGGGGAGGAAGAAAGGATTACACAGGTCTGTTACTTAATCATGAATTTCTAGCAGTACACCCTTGGGAATATGGATGGCTGAGTATATTTTCATCTGTTTCCTCTTGTCGCCCTGTCTGAGTAGCTAACTGGCCTGCTCTTTGAGTTAATGACTAGTATGGGCACTGCAGCAACCCGGAGCCCAGGTAAGTCACTTCTGATTGTAGAAAGATATTATTCACACCACTCGAACCCTCTGCCTGGGAAAACTCTTTGGAGTAAATATTTAAAACTTCATCACAAAGTTAAGGCTACTCTAATCCATTTCGCTTCTACTAAAACTATCCAGACTATAGCAAATAATCTTTTTTTCTATGCCATTCATACAGGTGCACAGTATAATAGCTAATACTTGAGAGTTTACTATGGACCATATACCTCTTTTTGTGAATTAACTCATTTGGTTCTCACAAATCCATTGTGGTAAGAAACTGCTATGTTGCTCTGAGCACCCATAAAGATAGTGAGGCTTGAGTCGGGTGCCGGTGGCTCATGCCTGTAATCCTAGCAACTCAGGAGGCTGAGATCTGAGGATCGCGGTTCAAAGCCAGCCCAGGCAGGAAAGTCCATGAGACTCTTATCTCCAATTAACCCCAGAAATTCAGCGCTGTGGCTGAAGTGGTAGAGCGCTAGCCTTGAGCTGAAGAGCTCAGAAACAGTACCAAAGCGCAGAGTTCAAGCCCCATGACTGACAAAAAAAAAAAAAAAAAATTGAGACTTGAAAAGATGAAGCAACTTGTCTGAAATCATAGAGACAGGCTTATAACCTTGTCAGTCTACCTTAAAATGCTGTAGTCTTAATTGATTTTTATATATACCAATAAAAGTAAAAAAATTGTTCCAGATATCAACTTATTTTTGAATTCTAGTCTAAAATAAGATTTGTAGGGATTACACTCATACGTAGAAAATCTCATCTATAACTATATGTCACCATGATATTAACATACATTTGAGGATTTCAAAGCATCCTTTCTTACATACTTATCCTTTTACTTATTTTGACTCTCCTTGGGTTTGAACTTGGGGGTTCTTGGGTTTGAACTTGGGCTTCACGCTTTCTAGTCAGGCATTCTACCACTGGAGCCAAGCTGTCAAGCCTCATTACTATGAGGTGGTGCTGAACTCCCCCACAGGATAAATATGCATTAGAGATAACAAAAATGTAGGGCCAATCATGTGTTTTTAAAATAAAAATTGTTGTCATGGAAAAATATCACAATGAGTCTCATTTCTTTGGACTTCTTATGAGTTAGAGGAGTTTAAAAGTGTGTTCCAGGGGTGTTCTGGCCTTCTAGGGGCCTAGGATATTTACCACCAATATATTCTTTTGCATCCATCTGTGGACACATGCATAACTTCATCTCTCAATATCCTAAATCTCTGCTAAGTTTCAAGCAAAAATCACCCAAAGCACTCCACATTCTAGAGAAAGCGTCCAGCTGTTAAAGCCAACCAATCGCCTTAAAGGCTTACTAAAAGGTAGAAGGAATGGCCTAATCACCATCGAACTCTTCCCATACCACCTTGCCCACCTCATCCCAAGACCTTCCTACCAGCCTAATAGGGAATCAAAGATGGCCAGACTGTAGAGAGGACAACATTGGATGTAAAAGGCAGTACTTTCTTGTTCTCTAAAGACCCTACAAGTTTTCAGACTCCTGTCAG